AAATTGTGAAGTGTATTCCAGTGTATGACACGTCAGTGGATGCATTTACTAATGCTGAAACGTTTGAGTAAAATTTGGATAAATACAGCCTAAATGACGTTGCTTTATTCTTAGATAACTTGAGAGAAACCAATAATGAAGGGGTTAAAATGACTTGTGGAATTAGGCAGAGAAAGAAGTGAAGATTTGACACCCCTCGTCCCCCTCCTCCTTTTTCTAGGACTCAATGTAAAAGAGTGATACAGACAGCTGAGCCACTCACAAATTTTTTGTACTAGAAACTGCACAGTTAATCAAAGGCAGAATATAACTCCTAAAGTTATTTGTTTTTGGTGCAGTAAACAACATTATTTAAGGTCTTGCAGATATTTTATCCGATATATCAAATCAAAAGCAAATAAGAAATTAAATTTGTTGATTGAAAATTTTGACAGAGAAAATACATGTGGAGATAAATCAATTAAAGCCTTTCCTTGTAAACTGATAATCAGACAAATAAGAGCAATTTTAGCTAAATCGAAATTAGGAGACAGACAAGCAATGCAGTGTAACACAGAAAGTTATAAGAATCAGATAACTTCAAGAGATATGATCAGTTTAGGGAATGAGCATGGATATGTGTGCCAACAGATGTACACAGGCTGATTCCAGAATTAAGAACAGCACACAAAAAAAGAGATCTATGTTAGTTTGTTGTTTTAATGAATTGTTAGTCTGAACTGTTTTTTCATTGTTTTTATGTGTGTTGTAAGAAAGTATTAGGTTAATTAATTAAAGTAAAAATTTACATCAAGTTTGCAAATATGGCAGAATGAAATACACTAATGAAGCAGTTAGGAACATGCAATGTATGTTATATTGGGTGTATGCGATTATACAGTAACTCATTTTACAGAAGGAAAAAAAAAAAACAATGAATATTCCTTGTTACTTCTGAGGTTAATTTACAGTCTTTGATTTAATTCATGAGAGTGAGATTTTAATATCATGACTGATAATGGATTACTATATTTTGCAAATCCTGGACATACATATGTTTTGACTACATAGAAGACAAAAGTTTTGATAGAATAAAACCTAGATTTACAAATACATTTGATGTAGGAAACAATAGATGTTTTTTTGTAGTTTGTTTCATGTGACAAAAATGGTGCCAGTGACAAGATGGCTGCTATTGCTAAACTATAGTGGAAAACAATATTTTGTTGTAACATCTGACATGTGATTAGGTTATACCTCCAGATTATTAAACAGTTTAAAAGGGGGTATGATTAATAAAAAGTTTGGAAATTTAAAATGTTCAGAAAGATTTTAATATAAAGGAAATTTAAAGATTATACATCACATGGCATAAATGTAATGACCACTAGATGGTAGATCTCATGAGAAGAAATGAGAATGTTGTGTAGTCAATAAAATTCAATGTTAAACATTGTAAGCCATTGTATTGATGCTGCACATGTTTTTTTGTTTTAATGTAGGTAAAGCGTGACAGATCCTTGTGGCAAAAATCAGGAAAGCATTCCTTCAGACAACTGGACATCGACTGTTGGAAAGAGACTTTTCATCTGATCTGCAAACTGTGATGGAAGATTCTACGGAGTTCATTCGATACAGAAGATTAACAGATTTACAAAGAAATAAAAGATTGACACTAACATTCTTATTAATTCCTAAATATTAATGGAAAAGAAAACAGACAATGAAAAGTTATATAACAGTTTATGAGTGTATTAAAGGACCACTCTAGGCACCCAGACCACTTCAGCTTAATGAAGTGGTCTGGGTGTCAGGTCCAGCTAGGGTTAACCCTTTTTTAAATAAACATAGCAGTTTCAGAGAAACTGCTATGTTTATAAATGGGTTAATCCAGCCTCCAAATCCTCTAGTGGCTGTCACATTGACAGCCGCTAGAGGCGTTTGCGTGCTTCTCACTGTGAAAATCACGGTGAGAAGACGCCAGCGTCCATAGGAAAGCATTGTGAATGCTTTCCTATGAGACCGGCTGAATGCGCGCACAGCTGCGGCCGCGCGTGCGCATTCAGCCGAAGGGGAGGAGAGAAGGAGGAGAGCTCCCGACCCGGCGCTGGAAAAAAGGTAAGTTTAACCCCTTTCCTTGCCATCCAGCCCGGCGGGAGGGGGTGCCTGAGGGTGGGGGCACCCTCAGGGCACTATAGTGCCAGGAAAACTAGTATGTTTTCCTGGCACTATAGTGGTCCTTTAATATCAAAAGAGAGTACTTCTAAATGTGTAACACATACAGTAAAATTATGAAGAGAACTATTACATTATTACCTATACATAGGATGAGAAGTATCTGAAGTAGATAAAATATTAAGTTGATAAAATAAGGATCATGTATACTTAATTCTACAAAGATTGAGTTCAATAGTATTTCATAGATTCATTAGAATAAGTAATTTGTTTATATCGAGGTGGAGTAAAACAAACAATGGTAACAAAAGGAAGAAAACTAAGGAAGGATAATTTATATTGATTAATATTAAGTAATTGTATACATTAAGAATGCCTTAGATATAAGAGTTCAGAGATCCAAGAGGAATTGAATTGAAGGAGTATAGTACACAATTTTATTTGACCTAAGTCTATAAAAGGTATGGACTAGGGAGAATAGGTTTCTGGATATGATGGTATCCAATGAATTGAATACGTTGTTAAGTTGTTTTATGATTTCCCTGAGTTTGTTAGACACAGACTAGGAATAAGAGTTTCTGGGCAGTATGACCCCAAGTTTTGTTTATTTTATTTTAGTCAGTTGAAGTGTACTAAGGAATACGGATTCGTCAGAACATTAGGACAATCCTGCTTTTAAGATGTATTACATTAATAAGCCATCACAATGCTAATGAAGAGAGTGATGCTAATGAATTTAAAGTATTCTTTCCAAGTTCTTTTAAAGTAAACCATTCTCAGATTGAATGAAAAGTTTGTTACTACAAGGTGGAATTTTAGCCCAAATCATAATTATGTAAACAAAAACAAATCTATGATAGAAAGATTTCTGGGTGGAGAATTTCTAGGACAATAAGTATTATCAACACCATGAACATTATTTGAAGAATCATTGTAGAACTGCATGGTTGATAACACATCCTTTGAATGAGTCTTATAAGTAGTGTTGATATATTTCAGGTAGTTAGAGCCTACTGAATATACAAATTAAATACTATGATTGTAAAATACTGATACAATCATCACTAGGTGGTATTAATGGTATAGGAAGGTAATTCATGAATACAAATGACCTAAAGATTTTAAGGTTGCTAGAAACCATATGATTCATGGAAATATAATTGGACAGGATATTATAGTAATACATGTATTAGTACTTAAGTAATATCAGGTATTGAGAATTAAAATACTGTGTTATATGTGTCTGTAGGAATATGATAGTGAAACACAGTCATTATTATTTAGAAAGTTGTCATCTTGATTTTGTTATCTACAAAGATATGACTGTACCAGAGCAGGTAGATCTTTCTGATTGCTTTATTGTTTATTGGATCAACATTTGTAAATATTTTATGCATTTATGATTGTTATATGTATATATTATGTTCAAGTAGTTAAGATGTAACATGGATATAGCTGAAACAGAGGGAGTTTGAAGTAAAGTAAGCAGTATGAGGGATAGAAACTTGACCTTCTAAGAACTAATAGAAAGTTGTGACTACATCTTGTTCTATGCTCATTGACTGTGATACAAGTGATGTATGAATGGACAGGTTAGTGACATTGTGTTATGGTTTTAAAACAAACCACAAACAGAGGGAATGTAGAATATTGCATATTCTATGTTTCTATTGATTATATATGGATGTGTGGATTGACATAAGTAACAGATGGTATAAGTCACAAGGCTTTCTTTGTCCGAGAGCTCTGGAATGTGGATGTGGGGGTTTTGTCCTTATATGGCTAGAGTTAAATGCTGACGTTAGTATTAGCACATCTTTATAGTAACAGAGGGACACGAGGTCTCTCTCGATCTTGGCTCTGGGCTCTCTCTGGCTCTCTCTCGATGTAAAGATGTAAGAATGTAAAGAAGTCCAGCAATTACCATCTGCTGTTGAAACATTCATTATCCTGTAACATCCTTTGTTGTTTTATTATGTATCTGTAACTAAGAATAAACCTGAAGAAACCGTAAGTCAGATTGCGTATTAGTACTTTTCAATAATATAGACATATATTATTGTGGCGAGCATTTGGCCCAGGACTACATATACAAAAGACGTATATATATCAATCAACTGAAGACAAGAAGAAATTAAGAAGATATAACAGTCACGATCGTTCCAACCAGATTTTACATTTATCCAAAGCTGTAGCAAATCATACACTAGAATGTTTTAAGACTTTTTACCAACCATCCCACAGTCCTGTCCCCTCGATTCCATGGCCAGTGAAGCAATTTTTAAACCAATGTCTGCTTCACTCTAGGGTCAACTGCTTCCTTTTGAAACCTAGGGAGATGTAATGAGAAACTAAAGCCAGTCACTCCCTGCGATTCTTTAAAAGTTAAAGGACCCAGGACACATAATGATGTCATATCTCAGTGGTAAAGGCACACAAACAATGGAGGACAAGTTGGGGGAGGGACATCACAGGACCTGTCCCCATGCAATGAGGCCTCCAACCTAAGTTGTAAGGGACAATGTAAATGAGAGTATAGTGTATGTCAGTGAGTGTGTGTGTCAGAATGTTTGTATGGATCATTCTGTGTGGGTGTCAAAATGATTATATGGGTCACTCTATATGTGTATTAGTATGAGAGGCTCGGGAACAATGCAGATGAGTTGTTCACTGGCTTTTGCTCCTCTTCCTGAGTTGTGTTTCAAAGCTGTTGTATACAGCAGACACATACTCCAAGGAATACATGTATAACGTGGAATTATGAGGCAAAAATTAGATTCTTTGTTGAACTCATTTGCATACGCATACCCAGAATCCCTTGCAGTAGTGAGAGCACTGTTAAAGTGAGATTTCTGTGGGAAAAGCAAATCTTATGGCTTGACTGGTGTGTGTATTTGTGTTTAGCAATGTATTAACTATCCACTTACTTCAGGTGGAAGTGGTTATCATCTCTTTTTCCCACCACAACCCACAGTATTTATATATTGTAACGGCACCCCCAGGCATAAAAGGGGTTAAACCACCGTTTAGAAGATTTTCCCCTTCCAGAGACACAGGCACAGCTACCACAGAACCCCAAACTTCTGAACAGGATACAAAGTAGCACTCCAAACTCCTGAACTGGAACCTCACGAATAGCTGCAAGCAGCTGAACAGGAAAAGCACCCAAGCGGCTTACACTCCTGGCAATCAGTCTCTAACAGCATACAGTAAATCCCCCCAATAATGAGACAAAGCTCTGTGTTGAGGGTCAAGCAGTGAACACCTGAGCTGTGTCTTTATTGGCCTTATATACACCTTTTACAGACAAAGTCCCACCCACAGGGTTTTGTGGAACTTCCAATCAAAACATACAACACAGATAAACACTCCCACAATGACATCACAATCCCTCCTCTCTATTTTGGAGATAATTGGGAAGTAATCCAACTATCTCCAAGGACAGAGGCAAAACTCCATTAAGCACATGGCAGTAAAAAGACAGTAAAATACAATAAAATACACAATGTTACATTTATTACATAGAATACAGACATGAAACATTTCCCCAGATAGCTTAGGTCTGAGCGCACATTATTACTGAATGGCGCTCAGACCACACACATACAGTTCAATTGCCATGGAGCCAAAGTCTTTTATTACACGAATAGGCTCCATGGCATAGCTATCTGGGTTAAATACGTTCATTCAGTAAATCCGTGAATGAACCGGCCGAGTGTGAACTGCAGACTGCTGCCATCCAGTGTTCAGTATGCGTAGCCGCGGCCACCCGGTATAGTCAGTTAACCGCATCTACTGGGTGGTCAATTGGTGCTAGCCGGCTTCTGGGCGGACAATTAACGGCACCTGCCAGCTAACTGCGGCTCCTGGGAGGCCAATAGATGGCTGTTTGTTCAGTAGATAGAATCTACCGAACGCCCGGGCAGAAATACATGAATAGACCTTTCTGCATAGGAAAATAAAGTATTTAAATGCCGGTCCATAGTCAAAAGGCAGCAGGCAGGCAACCAGGGTCCTCCAATGCACAGTGGCGAGATTGGTCTCGTCACATCTATATAAAAGAGAAAGGAAAGATCTCTTGCACTCACGCTATAATAGTCCCTTGTTTGCCAGGTGCTAAGCCAGGGCTTAGTTATCCAGAAATCCAAAAAGGTGGCAGAATTAAAAGTTCTAATCTTTATTTGTTCATGTTAAAAAATCAACGTTTCAGTCCTCTGTATGGGACTTTCTTCAGGATCAATACACTTACAGAATCAAAAAACAGACATAAGACATAAATAGGCAAACACATTAATAAAATTAGCTTACCCCCAGGTGAGGTGCAACTCAGATCGGCGTTCTAGTGTGGCCAGTGCGCATGTGTAGTGAAACTCCACCCCACGTGACGTTGCGACGTGCCGTCATCGCGTTCGTTGCTATGGCGACGCAGCACACACGGCTTCACTATGGAGATAGAGTAGCAGTTACATTAGCTGTGTGCAGTGTATATCTGCTCGTTCTGAGAATCAAACAAGTAATATAGAATAAGGATAAAGTGCTTATTGAGTACAATGTGCTTGGTGATAGATCATATATAGTAAATTATTTAGTGACCATGGTGTCAAGTTATAAACTCTCTCTTGGTAAAAATGACTAGTTAATCATTTAAAGTGACAATGTGCATGTTTAAAAGTGATAGTACCTAGTTGTACTTTTGCCATTAAAGTGCATATATTGGGTAAAAAATTTTTTTATAAAGCGCTTGGTGCTAACAAATAAAGTGCAAACAGTGTCAATATGAAAGTGGTAAAAGACCCAAATATATGGATTGACATTTGTATGATAGAATAAACCTCATGTATATATGTATAGTGACTACTAGTGATGTACCGAACGGTTCGCCGGCGAACGGTTTCTGGCGAACATAGCATGTTCGCGTTCGCCACGGCGGGCGAACATATGCGCGGTTCGACCCGCCCCCTATTCGTCATCATTGAGTAAACTTTGACCCTGTACCTCACAGTCAGCAGACACATTCCAGCCAATTAGCAGCACAGCCTCCCTAGCAGACCCTCCCACCTACTGGACAGCATCCATTTTAGATTCATTCTCAAGCTGCATGCTTAGTAAGAGGAGGGAAAGTGTAGCTGCTGTTCATAAGATAGGGAAAAGCATAGCTAGGTTAGGGATAAGGGTATGCTTTTTTTTTATTTTTTTTTTCTATGTAATGTAAATGCACTTAGTTGTCTGCCACTGCTGCCAGCTTCTGTGTCAGGCTCACAGTGCCCATTTCCCCAGTCAGTGCCACCAATTACATCTGGTGTCACAATAGCTTGGATTTAAAAACAAAAAACTTTTTTTACTGCTATAGATTGAATAGCAGTCAGTGTCCTTAAAGCGGGTGTGTTACGCTAACAGTGGATACGCTGACAAGTGCCACTAATTAGATCTGGTGTCACAATAGCTTGGATTTAAAAACAAAAAACTTTTTACTGTTATAGATTGAATAGCAGTCAGTGTCCTTAAAGCGGGTGTGTTACGCTAACAGTGGATACGCTGACCAGTGCCACTAATTAGATCTGGTGTCAAAATAGCTTTGATTTAAAAAAAAAATAATCTTTTTTCACTGTTATAGATTGAATAGCAGTCAGTGTCCTTAAAGCGGGTGTGTTACGCTAACAGTGGATACGGTGACCAGTGCCACCACTAGATCTG